TTCTATTTTCCTGCCCACCTAAAACTTTATTTCTCTCTCCTTCCATTTATCTGCCCAGGAAGTTCCATAATCACCACTCTGATGAGAGTGTCTTATATTAATTTAAAATTTTCAGTATTTTAGCAAAGATTTCCTCTCCTCCTTTGACAAGCCCACAAGCAGATAATATCTCCACATTTTTACTGTAATTAAAGTATGTTAAATCATGGTAACTGTCAGATTCCCATCAAATGAGTGAAACTGTCTAAACTGAGCTAACTTGCTAAAATACAAATTAATCTTTGTGAAAATCTTGTGCTAGATTGTGTACAGTACAAATATTAGTGTTATTTAATGTGTGTTATATACCAAAAATTTGCAAAAGCATTTTCAAAGAATAGAATCCTAACTGTGCTGTTTTTTTGGCCATGGTGTATGAACAGAAAGGTTGGTAGCAGAATGCATAAGTAAAAAATCTTTGTGAACTTGAGGTAGGACAAGATTTCTTAGGTGAATCAACAAAAGTATAAACCATAAAAAAAAAAAAAGGTGGAAAGCTTTGTTCATTTGAAGACAGTATTAAGGAAACAAAGAAATAAGCCAGAAACTGGGTGAAAATATTTATAATAAACATATGTGACAAAGGATTTATATCCAAATAACCCAATCAAAAAGAAAAATAGGCAAAATATTTTAACAGACTCTTCACAATACAAGATATACTAATGGTCAACAGGCACATGAATAGATCCTCAACATCATTAGTTATCTATGGAAATGAAAGTTAAAACCACGATGAGCTACCATTACAGATCCCTGGAATGGCTAAAATTAAAGAAAAGGAAAAAATGATAATGCCAATATTAGTGAGATAAAATACAAATTGAAGTGCAATGTATTACAACCCCTTTGTCATTTTGTGGGTTTGTTATGAAGTTGGCATAATAATGGATATAAATTTACCACAGGCCCCAAGTAATTTCACTGTTAGATATTTATCCAAGAAAAATGAGAACAGGGTGCCTGGGTGGCTCAGTCAGTTGAGCACCCAGCTCTTGATTTCAGCTCAGGTCGTGGTCGCAGGGTCCTTGGATCAAGCTGTGCGTGGAACTCCATGCTCAGTGGGGAGTCTGCTTAAGGATTCTCTCTCGCCCTCACCCTCTGCCCCCCCAACTTGTGCTCTTTCTCTCTCAGATAAATAAATCTAAAAAAAAAAAAGAAAAGAAAGAAAGAAGGAAAAGAAAAATGAAAACATATGTCCACAAAAAGATACGTACACAAATGTTTATCATGGCTTTCTTAGTAATAGTCCCAGACTGGAAGCAACACAAACTCTATCAACAGGTGATTAGATAAATGAATTGTGGTTTGCCATTAAATATTACACTACATTTAAAAGGATGTATCCTGAAATATACAACAGCATGACATGATGAATTTCCAAAATAATTTTGCTGAATGAGCGAAGCTGGGTACAAAAGAGTTCATGTTGCACATTTCCATTTATGTGAAATTCTAGGGAAGGCAGAACTAACCTATAGTGATACAGCATATCATTGTTGCCTGGGACCAGGAAGGGGGTGGCATTTGAATGCAAAGGAGCATGAGGAACATTTTGAAGTGATGAAAATGTTCTATATCTTGATTTTGGTGGTAGTTACACATGTGTATACATTTGTTCAAGTCATCTAACCACATACTTTTTAAAAGTTGCATTTTAGTATAGTATATTATACTTCAGTAGAGTTGATTTAAAGAAGATGGGTTGGAGGTGAGGGATGATGTAGTTTGTAAATTTAGGGGAATTATATAATGGAAACAGCAACAACAAAGTGAATAGTTTCTTCAAACTGAGATGAGTAGAAAGAATTTTGGAGAAAAATATGCATGAGAAGAGGGTGATATTCACTAGAATATCTCTGATAGGCTCAAAAGTAAATATTTGTCTAAATTTTATTATTAAACTTTAAGGTCACACTTAATGTTAAGCTCTTATGTAACATACTTAATATACTCATACATTAAGTATGTTACATAAGAATTAAGGAGGTTTCTTTTGTTGAGATGATTTGCTTATTTTACAGAATAATTCTATATTCCAAAGACAGCCACTTTCACATTTTGAGAACTGGCCATTTCCAAAGTATCTGAAATCTGTCAAAAGCAGATGAAGCCATAATTCTAACAAAATATTTTTTGAAGAAAATTGTGAAAGAACATACACTGTTAGCTTTGAAAAACTTCCAATGTAACTTATGAAGTACTTTGTTAATTTGTATTTAATATGCAATTGCATTGGAATTGCTATCATTAAATGAAAGCATAAGCTAATTAAAGTATGAAGTATGGATAAGATTTATATCTGAAGGATTTACTATAGTATCAGATATCTAAAAGTGTAAGCAAATTGGAATGGCACCTAAATTACAGATCACTGAAATGCAAATGGAAAAACAATAAGCTAAAAATGAAGATACAGTTTTTCTATTTTTGCTTTGTATTTTTCAACTTGATAATTTAAGTACAGTATATCAGATGTCATATAAGATTGATTTGTTTTTTTAAAACATTTTTCTCAAGATTCCCTAAGAGCAATAGAATTAAAGTGTCATACTACAAGATGGATTTGAAAGTTAAAGCTGGAACACCATTTTCTCTAAGAATGACATTCAAAGAATCAAGGTTAGATGATGCAAATTTTGGAGTCTGCTTTCTAGCCATGCTTAGAATGACACATTTATTTCTGGGAAGTTGTGGGAGACCTCAACCCTAAAAGAAGTTAACCATGAAGCTTGATTTGGTTCATGTTCTTATGGAAGTTCAAAAATCTTTATCTGTGAGAATATGATACAAACTTTTAAATTTTTACAACTGAATGTCATCTCTGTCTTCTGAATATATGGTTTTTAAGGGCTTGATACTTTAATATGCTATGCAGAATATCAATTCTTCAGGAAAATACCAGATAATTCAACTATATATGAACTGTGTTCTATTAATTGCTTAATTTCTCGTGAGAAATCCAGTAAGAAAAACAGCTCAGGAGTCTTGTTTTTCTAGTCTGGAAAAAAAAGTTTCCCACATTTTTTAAATTTTAGAATCTTGTGGTAAATTCATTCCTAAGAAAATGTTTGTTTCTCTATTGTATCATATAATCAGATAGTGAAAGTCAGCAGTTCAGAATATTTCCTGATTTTGATCAAGTAATGGACAAAAAGTTCTGAATAAATTTAGAAATTAAGTCAGTAGCTAATTCACCTCAATTATCGAGTGTGTGTATTTTTCTGCTTCCTTCAGTAGATTATTGTTCAGTTTTTACCTAATTTCCTCCTTTAACAATTTAAGTCAATGTGCAGTCTTAGATCAATTTCTGAAGCAGATGCAGTATATGTTATATAAAAATTATCCTGAGTATAAACCATGTTTATAGTTCTTATGCATTGTTGCTGTAATAGACTCAGAAATAATCCCACTTTAAGGATATTTAAAATGTGTCCAATTTATGGTACACCTAAATCAAATGAACTGAAAATAGCCTCGTGAATGGAAAGAGACACTAAGAATTCTAACAGTTGTACCATCTATTCTTTGAATGTGTTCTTTTTTGGCACTTAAATCAGCCAAACTTGTCTACTTATTCCCTTTCACAATCAAAATTAATCCATTCTTTTGCTTTAATCTTCACTGCAAAATTTTCTGCATTTTAGTGCATGCAGTTGGTAAACAAGCTGGAATATGTTGCTGTTCATTCTTTCCAGTGTTTTATTTGCTTATCTACTTAAAAAGGAGAATTATTCTGACAGACTAAGTTAGGGATATAGTAACATAGCTTCTGTTGCTACTTATTATTGGTATTTTTTTCTTGTTTTTAGAAAAAATAATGGTAAGCTTCTAACCCATACTTCTTTTTTTTAGGCTAATCTCTTATTTAAGAAGTTTTAATTGATTACATTTTTAGTGGACTAGAAGAACAGCGTTAGCAACATTCCAGTAATTCTCTTTTTGCATAAATCCTTTGTTCTTACATTTTTTTTTTGTTTTGTCTAGCAGAATGTAAGAAAGATTATAAAATGTCAGGGGCTATGAATATGGGAATTTAAAAATTTAATATTTCTTCATTTTGCAATTATGTATTGATGACCGACATAGTTTTCATAATGAATAAAAACTGGATACAATTATTTAAATCTTCATTAAGGGACTTCTGGGTGACTCAGTTGTTAAGCATCTGACTTCAGCTCAGGTCATGATCCCAGGGTCCTGGGATGGAGCCCCGCATCGGGCTCCCTGCTCAGTGGGAAGCCTGCTTCTCCCTCTCCCACCCCCCCCGCTTGTGTTCCCTCTCTTGCTGTGTCTCTCTCTGTCAAATAAATGAGTAAAAATCTTTAAAATCAATCAATCTTCACTAGATAAACATGAATAATACTTTAAATATATGTTTGAAAATCAGCCTGAAAGATATCGAAATAACAGCATCCTGAATCATCACAGATACTGTATAACTTTCAAAAAAAAGGGGGTAAAAATCTTAAGTAAGCAAATAAAATTTTAAATACTGTCCTGGCACAAAGATGATCATGGCATTTAATAAAATGCACTTAAAATGTACATTAAGAGGTCATAATTAGGCTAATTTTTCAGATATTTCTTTTTTTTAAGATTTTATTTATTTATTTGACAGAGACAGACACAGCGAGAGAGGGAACACAAGCAGGGGGAGTGGGAGAGGGAGAAGCAGACTCCCCGCCGAGCAGGGAGCCCGATGCGGGGCTCGATCCCAGGACGCTGGGATCATGACCCGAGCCAAAGGCAGACGCTTAACCACTGAACGACGCAGGCACCCCTAAGATAACTATTTCTAAATAAGGAATGATTCAGTATATAATATAATGTGAATTTTTCTACACCCATATTTAATTTATTTGTTTTTATATTAAGAAGAAGGATTTGATTCTAGATTAGGAATAATAAAAGTAACTACCAAAATGTATCTTTTTAATTCAATTATGTTTTCCTTGCAGAGTGCAGATATGAGCCCAGCAAGTAGCACCACTTCACTTCCCGTTAGTCCTCTTACTGAAGAGCCATTGCCTTTCAAGGTAAAAAATAAACAACAAAATAATTATTTATGATACTTTTAGGATACTTACTTACTTTACTATAGTAAAATATTGCATGGTATAGATGGTAAGGTGAACTGCTTTAATATGTAAGGATCTAATTTCAAATGGTAAAATCTTTGTTGTTTTGTTGTCATTCTGGTTGGTAAATGAAAGTACAGTTTAAAATAGAAGTTAATACTTTATAGACTACATCATTTGCCATGTATATAAGTAACAGTGATTTCTTTGTAATAGTTTGATGTCACATGAATTTGAGGTTTTGAATCTTTTGTTTATCTTAATTTAAGTAATAAATTTAGGATGAATTATTTAGCCCTCATCGAGTGATTACATTTTCATTAGCTGGTTAAATTTTCATTGATGACTCTAGCTCATAATTAATTAATTATGAGACCTTTACAAAGTAATGATCAAAATAAAAAATTGAAATACAGAATCATTCCTCCAAACCCATTATATTTTTAAAATATTTAAGGAAATACATAAATAAGTAATTAAGAAGTATGGTTTGTAGAATTCTTCAGTTTGGGAGACTATATACAGTACAAGTAAGAAGTGATTTTCTTGTTTTGCTGTTTAAGATTAGATGTATCTCTTTAAACCAAAGCTTGTAGATCAGCTGTTTTAATCTGTACCAAGGATGTTTGAATTTCATTGAAATTATTATAAATAAAAGCAATCCTTAAGATCATGGGAAAAAAATACTTGGAAAGTTGGGATGATACACTTAACTTACATGCAATAGTTTCAGTTTAATTTGGTTTAAAGACAGGTAGATGTGCATTTTGGGATTCATTATGATTTCATGATTTTTGGATTTTATCATAAAATTGTTTATTACTGTAGGGTTTTTTTTCTTTTTCATATGAAGAGCATAACCTACTCAACTTTGTACTGCTTAAACCTAGTACAGTGGCTGGTATTGATTTCTAAATACTTAATATTTGCTGTATTGTTAAAATGAGAATAATAGAAAGTTATGAATTTCATTGTGTGTCTTTAGTTTTCTAATAATAGATAGTTTGTTGTTTAATGATAGACAAGGGGCACTTGGATGGCTCAGTCAATTAAGCAACTGACTCTTGATTTCAGCTCAGGGCATGAACTCAGGGTCATGAGATTGAGTCCCACATGGAGCTCCACGTTCAGCAGGGAGTCTGCTGGAGATTCTCTCTCCCTCTCCGTCAACCCCTCCCCCATCACACTCGCTCTCTCTTTATTATAAATAAATAAATAAATCTTTAAAAAATGATCGACAATAATAATTGTTAAAAGGTTATTTTATATCAGAATTGTTAAATACTGAATAGTATTCTGATTGCATTATTTATTGAGGAGTCTATTATTCTACAACAAAGAAGAAAATACTAACATTTCAAAGTTTAGTGTTACTCAGTGTTTCCATCTTATGGTATATGGGACAAAATTTATGGAAGAATCATATCTTTAACAAGATTTTAATTGAATTCTCAGAGCATTACTAAAAACCATTTTCTCTTTTTAATATATTGAAAATGACTATACTCCTTGAAAATTAATATATTTTTTAATGGAAGTAAAAGAAAAGGTCAGATATATTCCAAAATGTGCTGACACAAAGCTAATATAAATATAATTATTTTAGTTAGTTTCTGTCACTGCTTCTAAGAGATCAATATTGTTCCCGTGTTAATGTATGTAAGTGGTTTTATAAGCACTTAAAACTTCTAAGCACTTATAATATATAATATTAGTAGTGGTAGCCAGTGTAGTTATAGTGCCTCTTGATTTACTTTTTTTTGTGAAAGGAATATTATTTATATATTTTTCATATTTTTATCATAAATAAAAACATCCCACTAGTATTTAATAGTGTCAAAAATTAAAGTTTGAAATTATGAAGTAAAGCTTCTGCCTTTGTAAATGAGGAGCTTTTTTTTGTAAACAAGGAGTAAAACTCCTTATTCACGAACACTGTTCTCATCATTCTGTATTGTAAACATGCCAACCAGGAAAGCATTTGAGTGTATCCCTTCACAGAGAAAGATGTATGGTGCACAATTCTCTACGTATACTACCACAAACTCACAGACTTCCCATTCGCACTCTTGGTGCAGAGAAGCTTCTAGGATTCCAAGTTCACATAATTGGGCAGACAACTTTATGGTCATATATTTGGAAACAAAAAGCAAATGTATAATCGCTATTTTTTAATAAAGCATTCAGGGTGACTTACGCAAGAGGTCTGTTCTCTATCACAATATCATTACAGAAGGGCAAGGTGTAACTAACTTTGTATGGGTGGGAATAATATTTTATCAGATAACCATAATAGAAGCATAAAATTTCAAGATCAGTCATCTGTGAGTCTGACAAAAAAGAGAGAGAGAGAGAGGGAGAGAGAGAGAAAGAATAGACCACTTAACTGTTAATTACAATGTTTATGTTTCTTTTTATAGAATAACACTGAACCAAGTTGTTAACTCTGATGTGTCCATTCCACCCTATTCTACCTTTTTCTTCCCTGCCATTCTCCTTGATTTCTATCAACCTAATCACTTCCAATCTAACCTGCCTCCTCTCTTCCTATGTTAGGTTCAGTCCGATAGATATTTCACGCCTAATGCCTTGGGGTCACCAAATATTACTGTTCTTTAATAAGATGATCCTTTTAATTTATTTGTTTACACAGTTATTAGCAGCCTCAGTCCATTCCTGGAACTAACAGTCTTGAAGCTGAAGCTAACTTACTGTTCTTGACCCCTCCATAAAAGTACACTTTATTATGGACCATGTTATTTTTGTTAACCATATTTATCCCCTATTTTAAAATTTATTTGTACTTCATTGAAGCATGATCTCTAGGTTTTAGTCCTGTTTTCTCCAAAAAATCATCTTTTCTTTGATTAGATATGTTAATAAAGGGTATTATTCCAACCTTGCCCCTTTATCCTTATTCTGTGATAAATTCAATGGATGGAAATGAATTCAACTCTATTTTTCTTTAGACTCTGCTTCAAGAGTACACAAAGGCATTAAAGAATATGCTTCATTCACCAATTTTCAAAATTTGATTTTATACAAAAATATAGTCTTCTCATTGCCCTTCCTGGCCCATTGACTGCTGCTTTTCTGTGATACTTAGGTTTGTGGAGTGTCTAATGAGACTGGGCATCTAGTGTCTAGAATCCACAATGGAGCCACCCTGTTGGAGACCCATCCACCTTCCCCAGGAGCGGACCAAGAGTGGTTCTGGGATATTTCTGGAGTCTCCTCTCCTTCTGAAATTCAAAGTTCTTAGACTCCTTTTTCTCATCCCCAGAAATCACCATTTAGTCTAGACTAAAGAAGTTCCCTTTTAAAAAAAATTTCCCTTGGAGATTATTCCTCTCTCCTTTAATCAACCAGAGCCTGGGAAAAAAAAATCTTCTCAACATACTTCTTAGAAGCAGAATAGAGGAAAGGAATTGTGATGTAAGATTTTTCTTACCTGAAAGAAACATCACCTTAAGAAGCACAGAGCCACCTTACTAAAGCAAGGGATAAGGAGGTGGAAATAAATAAATTAATGTCTCAAAAAAATTCAACTTGTCATGCACTCCTGGAATATTAGGGTAAGAAATGATGCTAATTCCGCTCAACCATAGAACCTAAACTTAGGACTTAGTAACAAACATAGGTTGCTCTCACTTATATAAAGTAAATAGTGTGTAGAAAAAAAATAGTAATCCCAGAAAATACACACCTATCAACCATTAACTATTTGGTTGAATCATACTTTAAATTTGTCTATAGTTTCTATAACAATCACTAATTTCTACTTTAAGAACAATATTTATTTTTAAGAAAGCAGAAGAGTTGAGAATATTAGAAGCAATCTTAGCCTAGTTAGGAGACTTCTGGGACAAATCTCAATTCTGACACTTTCTATCTGTATGACCTTGACCTGTTACTTGGTGTCTTAATTTTCCCATCTATAAAATGGGAACAGCAGCAAATTCTTCTTCATTGGGTTTCTATAACATTAAACAAGTTAACAGATACTGCTTCAAATAGCACATAATATCAGTATATGTATTAACTATTATGTTTTATAGAACAGGTATCTAAGTTTAAGGCAAGAGGTTCTGTATGTTATAAATAACATGAAGCAGAATTATTTACAGTTAATCCCTTGCACTTTATTTCCAAATGTGAGAATAGTAATGCACTTTCAACATAAATCCTTTACTTTGCTGAAGAATAGTATTTAATATTCATTTCTAGAAGGCATGCTGTTTGTTTCCTGCCCTCAAGTATTCAGATAAACTCATATATCAGATTCCTTGTATGAAAAATAATTAATGGAAATGTTCATTAATTATGAGGGAGAAGGAGTAAATACAATGAATCTGTCTTAAGGGAAAACTGGTGAATATAATAAAACATTACTTGGAAAAAAGAAATACATAATTAATAGATCTGCAAGCATAAGGACATATGGCACCTTTTTATCAGGAATACACCGTAGTATATTTTCTTTAATTTCCCAAACCTTCCCCCACGAATTAACCTGATAACCTCCTAAATGCAAGCCCCACTGAAGGAATATTGTTCAGTCACATTAGATACTGGAAAAAAACACATTGTAAATAAAGCACTGTTGATACTTCATTCTTTGTGTGTTATAATGTCAGTATACTAAGTAGTGTCAATTTATTTTGTCTGACAATATAATAGAAAAAAGCACATTTGGAGACTCCAGGAGAGAGGAGTTAGATAGTGGCACGACCTCCACAACATCATTTGTTGTATGTTTTGCAGAGAATTGGGATTTTGTGTGTGTGCGTGTTTATTGCTGTTGTTTCTCCTTCAGTGAATTTAATAGTCTCTCTTATTAGTGGAAATCACTTTTTTCATGTCCCAAAAATAATCCCAAATGATATATTCTGCATTTCTGGTATTTTTTTTTACTGTGTCATCTACTCATTCATTCATTTGTTCTTTCATTCATTCGT